GCTGCACTTTGCAATTATCTACAATAAAAATATTTAAGAAAGCTTTTAAACTTCGGCAAAATTTGAAAATAAGCTAGAAAAGACAATAATGCTTCATAAGAAGCGGCAAACGCATGGTATCAAAATCATTGCCTGGTGCGTAATATGTAAACACCTTTCCGCCTACAGGTCTACTGGGCCACGAAAACCAAACAATTAATTGATTTTGACGCACATTTCAATAATTAGCAGAAAGCAATTAAGGCAATCCCTTTATTTGAAAAGAGCTTCATTTAGCTAATTAGACCAAAAAACCGCAATCTACTTTTGTGCTACCCCTTAAGAAGTATGTTAACGCCAATTACAATGAGACACATTCTGAAAACATATTTAAAAGTGCGGTCCTTCATTATTATTTGAATTATTCTTCTTGAATTTCTCCAGGTGGATAAAACAAATTGCATTACCGTTAAGTTTCGTATTAAATTACAGTCACGGGGCATAGAAGTTCCAACTTTTTGATTTCAACGAGCAGATGAACGATTTTTTTAAATGTTCTGTCGTTTTCTCGGCAACTAGAGAAATTATGGTGTTAAAAAATTTGACAAATGCTGGATGAAACATCTTTGCAGACGTCTTCGCAAGCGATTCAAAGAGTTATTATTGGGTACAAATTAGTTATTTAGGAAGCTGATGACACTTTTTGCCGCCGAAAAAAGACAAATAACAGAATTAGAAAACTTACTTTGCCCGGCGTCGAAAAAGGGTCAAGTTTGTTTTGACGACGCATGCATTGAAACTTCTTGAAGCTTTTACCCAAAATTGGAAAAAACTTACTCACAACAATACTGCTAATCAAAATAATGTGCACAGGTTGGTTGAATCAGTAGTTCTTTCAAATGATTTGCTGGAACAGTTCTTTTGTTGGTTATTTTGATGCTCATACATTTGAGCTGTTTTTTGGCGCCGAGCCGAGTAACTTTCCCAAATATGTGATCTGTTTTTTTTCCGGCAGCATAAGGGGTAAGTAAAGTTCATCAGCTTCCTAAAGAACGAATTTTTTAACCATATTTCAAATTCCCCATATTGTTTGCAATGATGTTTCCCACAGCAAGAACACCTCTACAACTAGTTATGAGATACTTGCTAGTTTACGCCTTCGGAACAGAATTTTGACCTGCTTATGTCCTTTCAAACAGTTTCATTTAGCATGTTAAAAACTTAAATCTTAAATATTTAATAGTTGCAGAGAAAACGACAAAAATGCGAAGAAGAAAAACGTTCGTTTACTCGTTGAAATCAAATGACTAGTTCGGTATTTTTACACAGAGGAACCAAAGCCGTGATCGACTTCTAACTTTCGAATTTAGAAGTCGATAACGTTCTTCTATACAATAGTCGAGTTTGTATTCCTTTTCAACAAAATAATCGGACTGAACAAAACAAGAACTCAAACGTCAAACCATGAAGAATAAAATTTGGGCCTGAACCAATTTGAGTTTTTTTCTAAGAAAAAAAAACAAACAAGCCATCAGGCCTATAAAGGAGTCTTGCATACGTTCATTCACTCCTACTTCAGCAACATGAAACAAATCTGTAAAATACATGAAGCGTCAATTATATCTATATCGACGAAATCCCAGAGCCGACGAATTGATTCAAGTAGTTTTGTTAAACAAGTTTCAACCTCTAAGACGCTTAAATCCTCTTTTTTGTTTAAATATATCCTACTAGTATATCAACAAAGTTATAAGCAGTTGGACAGTAGGAGCAGTGTTATTTAACTCAAGTGTGCAGAAAAAAGTATTATCTTTTTTTAATACACTATCTTTTTAAATGTGTTAAGAACTGAGAAGTTTTTTAGAATGAATCATTTACAAAACAGATGCAGAGCTGCACTTAGCAACTATCCGCATCAAAAATACCAAAAAAAAACTTTAAAGAAACAGTGCCAGAAAAGACAACAGTGCATCATAAAAAACACGCTAAGGTATGGGGTCGAACTCACTGCTTGGTGGGTAATATGCAAACACTTATAGGATAGGACTACTGGGCCACGAACGCCCAATAATTAATAATTAAATGATTTTGACGCACACTTTAAATGTAATTAGGCATGAATTAGGGCAAGCGCTCGATTTAAGTATAAACAGAAGCTAAAAATCGCAATATAGATTTGAGCTACCCCTTAAGAAGTATGCTAATGCCATTTACAATGAGACGCATTCTGAAATTTTTTTAGAAGTGTGGTCTTTAAAAATAAAATGAGTTTTACTTGAAGTTTTCCAAGCGAAAGAATACAATAGCATAACCGCTAAGTTACTGATTAAACTACAGTCACGGGACATTGAAATTGGAAATTTTCGATGTCAACGAGCATATGAGCAATTTTTTTCCACTTTTTGTCGTTTTCTCGGCAACTACTTAAAATATAGGGTTCCAAATTTGACAAATGCTAGATGAAACATCCTTTCAAACATCCTCGCAAGCATTTCAGGGAATCGAATTTTTGGGCACATATTAGTTTTTTAGGAAGCTGACGAGCTTTATTCACACCTTTCGCTGCTGAATAAAGATAACAAACAGTATACAGAATTTAAAAAAAAAGATAATTGCCCTATAAAAACTCTTTCAAATATGTGATCTGTCTCTTTAGGCGGCATGAGGTGTAAATAAAGCTCATCAGTTTACTAAAGAACGATTTTGTGCCCAATAATTCGAATTCCTTGTTATGACTAAATGATGTTTCGACAACAAGAACATCTTTAAAACTAGTTATGAGATACTAGCAAATTTACGGCTTCGAAAAAACATTTCTCAAATTATGGCCTCCTTAAGTCCTTTCGAATAATTTGATCTAGCCTGTGTCAAAACTTGAACCCTATATTCTGAATAGTTGCAGAGAAAACGACAAAAAAGAGAAACAAAAAACCGCTCGTTTGCTTGTTGAATCAAAGAGTTACAACTTCTATGCCCGATGACTGTAGTTCCATGTTTTCACACAGAGGCAGCGGATCGGTGTTTAGCACCACTTGCGATACAAAATTTTTGAACAACGTAAAATCAAAAACTTAAAAAAAACTCGCAAAGATGAACGGAGAAGCCGAAAATTAAAAAAAAAACTTTTTGCAAATCTTAATTTTATTCTACAATGGAAAAACCTCAATCGAGAAAACCATGATTCTTTGTTTATTTTTTGTTCTTATGAAGCCATAGGTGAACTTCAAAAGTTAACATGATTTCTATATCTTTCCCTTTAACTTACTGAAACAACGAAAAAGCGTTGATAGAAAAAGTTTCAATAAACCGTTAAATTGCTTTTGCATGAAGGCGGGTATCAATCATATTAAGCAAAAAAAGCTAGCAAAAAATTTAAAAATACAGCGAATGTTTTTTTGCCTATGCAATACATCAACAGAAAATAACTTCAATACTTATCAAAATGCACACAGCTTGAAAAGTTCAATCGATGAAAAACGGAAACTACGCCGACATAAATTCAGCAGAAACAAAAACTAGAAAAATAATTTTAAAAAAACTGAAAAAATTCGATTGAAAAGCCGGATTCAACTCAGTACTTGGAGCAAAATTGTAATTCACAAACAAAGCTGATCAAATTGAACCATTGGGAAAAAGTTCGAGCAAAACTTGAAAAAATGCATAGGAAGTTTCTAAAAACATTAGTTATCGAGCTGTAAATATATATCGGACAAGTCTGAGACGTCAGGGATTCGGCTCACTGCTGCCCCAAAGGGTCCCTCGTTGTACTATTTTGAGATATGACTTTTTGGCTGACTGATTTTGAGCGAGGAGCGCACGCCAAAAAAACGCCGTTTTTTGGTCTAAACTTTCCGAAACGTGCCTAAAACGTCTTTTAGGAGACCTAAAGAAAGGTCCACAAAATTTCTTGGAAAACCTTTCACCCCCTCGAAAACCCTAGAAAACTCTACATGTTAGCGCAAGTAAAAAAATATTCCGCAAAAAATGTTGAAAAAAATGTGCTGTGCTAAGAAAACTAAGCCGACAAAATATAAGCAGAAAGACAAGCCGTAGTCCAAAAAACTGCAGACTTTTTCCCTGAATTTTGAGAGCAACAAAAATGACCTAGCTAAGTTAAAATCATTCTGTCATCAAAAAAAAACAAATTGAATAACTAGTCCTTACAATCATGTACACTGCCTCACCTGATGGTTAATTGTGCGGAACCCATTCGGAATTATGTGTTTATCTCTTTGGGGAGATAGAGGAGACGACGTGGAATGACCTGATTGGTGCAATTGCAATGACGTCATCAGGTGTTTAACTTCGTTCTGCAGCTGCTGGTTTTCCGAGTTCAGCCGATTTATTTTCTCTTCAGTGCTGCTGTTTTTGTCGTTTTGTAGTAATTCTGATTCATCAATAAAGTTCGGTGCATTCTAAATATTTGAAAAACCATCAATCAAGCGTTAGTAATTTCGAGCCGTGCTTTTAATAATGATTTCAATTTTCATGTACTTGGTCAGGGGCGGATCTAGGATTTTCTCGAGAGGGTGGGTCGGATTTTCAAAAAGTTTCGAAAATTTTGTCGACCTTTTTTTAGGTCGATCAAACTGATTTTCGGAGCTCTTCCAAATAACCAAAAAGACCCTATTTTAACCAAGTTTTCTGCGCCGCTAAATTTTGAAAAACAGGCCAACAAAAAAACGCTTTAAAAAAATTTTGACCAAGAAATCGCGTTTTTTTGGCGCGCGTTCCCCCTTCAAAATTAGTATATATTGGCGCCGAACCGCCTTTAGAACAATTTTAGGGTTCCTCACCAAAAAAGGATATCTCAAAATAGTACAAAGGGGGACCCTTTGGGTCGGCAGGGGGTCGTATTCCTGAGAGGGAGCGTCCACCCCCCCCCCCCCCGCCTTCTCCCCCCTAAATCCGCCCCTGTACTTGGTGATGATACTGATACCCTCAAGACGCATTATGCAGCGCTAGCAGAACACACTCCGTTATAAACTTCATTTTACCGAAGCTTTCCAAAAAATCTCTTCGAGCAGAAAACTTATTTATATTTCCGTGTTATTTTTTGCTTCACGAGGCCAAACTGTGCACTAGATAGGTTAAAACTTTCTCGGAGTGATTTTCACAAAAAATGAACGAACAGAAAAAAAAGAACAAAGGGAGCGTCCTTGTTGCGGAATCCGCTTATAATTCACAAAATACACAGTTTGGCCTCGTAATGTTAACACTTGGCACACAAACCCTTTTACCGCCAAAAATTATGACTACCTTTTGGACTAAAATGAATAGTTGGATGGCTATAACTTTTTGTTAGTATCCTGGAGTTAAAAGCACTTCAAAAAACTTCCGAAATTTTCGTGTTTGATGATGAAGTTTCCACTTTAAAACGTAATCATTGTCTAAATTATAGTGCTTCAGAAAAAAAAATTGAAATCTATCAAGTCCCCCTGAAACTATAATGAACAACAATTGCACTTGCAACTTCAATGAAAGCCACTTATAGCACAAGCGAAATCCGTGATGCTGCAACTTGACCAACAAAACTTGAGCTATTTTTTCTATGAAGATTTGACCAAATTTTAAAAAGCTAATAATGACTTGCGCGCTAAAGCCTGTAATTATCATGTAGGAACCAAACTTTTTGGTTCAGCCAAAAAACAGGATCAACTATTCTTTTTAAACTGCAAGTTTTTCTGACACTTGATACCTATTTCGTTATTGTTCCGTTTTGATGAAAGCAAATATATATAGCCGAGGTTGATTTTTTATTCAGATCATCTTTCAAAAGAATTTTCTTTGCTGTGATTGATCAATCACAGAAGGTTCGCACTCACCATTATACCAACCTGACTTTACGACCCCTGTGAAAAAAGTATAGCTAAACTGCTCGTTTATATTTTGATGCTGAAAATGTAACGCGCATTCTTGAAGCGTGGTGAATTATCTAGCGCCAAAAAAAAGTTCCAAACTGAATTGAGGCAAGATAATTGGTCTCATTCATTCCTTAAACGAAACAGAATTTGATACTTGAAATTTGATTCAGCAGCCTAAAATTCATAGTTTATTGTTCCGACTTCCGATGCGAAAGTAACGGAATATTTGTGCTCGGGGTGGGTTTTTTTCTTCAGACAAATTTCGAGTTTTTAACTAGCCATTTTCTGATGGAATTTTTTATATCATTCAAATGGTATTGTTGTCCTGAGCTTAAATTTGAAAAAAATTCACCTGTGATCATTTTTCGTAGAGTTATGAGGGTTTAAAGATTGCCATTTTGGCCATTTTGACCAATTTGTGACAATTTACGCGCGATATAATTCGCGCTATTAACGCGTAAGCGGAGATTTAATCCGTCTTATAAATCGTTCCAAAATGGTTGAACGAAGCTTATTTGCCATAATTGATTTGTTACAAGGAACGAAATTTCTCATTTTGTACTTTATATGGCGTGTGGGGGGATGATTTTCATAAAAAATTTCAAATTTTAGAAAAAAAAAATTTCATTTTATTTTATTTCATTTAATTTTCTTATGCTATTACTGCTGCTCCATAAACCTTAAAAGGCAGTCGGAACATTCAGTGCTTCGCCCTGATACGAGCAGTCTTGTTAATATTTGATAGACCAAAAAATATAGGAGTTGCAGTTTGTAGGAAGACGGAAAATTCATGGTTTTGCCCTTATACGTTCAATTTTATACTTTTAAATTCCAGATACAGATACACAACAAAGCTTCGTATGGAAATGGTATTATATATATACATATATACATACATATTCATTACATACATGTACATATATATATATTCAACCATGCCGAAAATTGAGCATGTTCGAATGGCATGATTTCAAATTTTGAACGGCTGCTAGTTTTGTCTGAACTCTGTATTTCGGTGGAGCAACACTGGGAGAAAAAGTTGAAAACCGCTCAGTCAATTTTGCTAGTTTGTCATATATGACGCCACGCCGGAGCATTTTTGTTTGTTTTAGCTTCCGTTATCAACTCAAATGGGTAAGTTTGTCTGCTTATCCTGCGTCAATTCAAGTTAGATAGTTTTTCAATAACCCGAGAGTGTAAAAACTTTTTTTCGCCGCTGTACCGCAACATTTTGTGTTTGAAGCTGTTAAATTTTGACACTATTCTAATTTATTTTTTCCAGATCTCAGAAGACTTGCTAGTCTTCATCTTTTTGTTGTCTCAATTTTAGCTTTGTAGATTAAAAGTATACATAACAAGACTGCTCGTATCAGGGCAAAGCCCTGAATGTTCCGACCGCCTTTTAAGATTTATGAAGCAAAAATAACTTTAAAAAATTAATTGAAATAAAATAAAATGAAGTTTTTTTTTAATTTGAATTTTTAAATGAAAATCATCCCCCACACGCCATATAAAGTACAAAAGGATAGATTTCGTTCCTTGAAACAAACCAATTATGGTAAATAAGCTTCTGTCAACCAATTTGGAACGATTTCTTAGACGGATTGAATCTCCGCTTACGCGTTAATAGCTCGAATTATATCGCGCGTTAATTGTCCCAAATTGGTCAAAATGGCCAAAATGGCAACCTTTAAACCCTCATAATTTTACGAAAAATGATCACAGGTGAAATAACTTTTCAAATTTAAGCCCAGGACAACAATACCTTTTGAATGATAAAAAAAAATTCCGTCAAAAATGGCTAGTTAAAAAGTCGAAATTTGTCTGAAGAAAAAAAAACCCACCCCGAGCACAAATGTTCCGTTACTTTCGTATCGAAAGTCGGAGCAATAAAATAGGTCGGCAAAACTCTTCCCTCACATATTTCGGTGGTGTTATACCGGCCGAAGTATCAACCCGCCAAAAATACGTGAATGTTATATAATAGTTCTGTGAAACTTACGAAACAGTTACGAAAGTTTTGCAAATTCATTCATACGATGAAACTTTTCGGCTGGCTCATATACTCCGCGCATTTTTGATTAGTTTATATTTCGGCTCGTTTATTTACTCTCCATATTTCGCTCCTCTTAAATTTAATGACTTTTTTGTAGCTCGCACAATTCGCCCCTAAAACCTCGCACACACAGTCCCGCAATAAAATCGGGGTGCATTACGTGAGGGGCAAAACATGCCAAATTCAATGACACATGTAGAAGAGCCGACTTTTTCTGAAACAATCGTATCCAAAAACTTATGCGACTCGAAATGTAAGCTAGATAAAACTCGCAACATTGTTAAATATTTCTTGAGTTGTTGAGAAAAACTCAAAAAGGAATTGAGAGGGAATCAAAATGTTTAACTCACTAAGTTGTGAAATGGGCCCGCAGATCCATTGGGGATGGATCCATTTCTTATCGGATCGACCAAAGTTGTCCCATTTCTCCCGTGTGTTATCTTATTAGAAGCTTCAGAAGACGAATGACGGAAGCTGTGGGAATGAGAATTGAAGTTTGAAGGTCTCAGTTTTTCGTCCATGTGCTCAAAGAACGTTTGAGGTGACATAGCGTTGAGCTGAAACAGATTTAATTTACAAACGATAATCGATTTCACGTTCCGCACCGCTGGTTCACGCATGTTTATTGTATCCAACACCTACTTGCTAAAAAAAAATTCTGATCAAATTGACATACTCCTTACCCACCCCCCCCCCCCCCCCCCCTCGACCCAGACTCACAAAGTTAAGATCTTTTACCCCAGCATTTTAGCTTGATTCTGATTGGCTGAAAACTCCAACTTAGAACCAAGTTAACATCCTCCCCTCAAAATATCTTCCATCCCATGTAAAATAGATCAAAGTCACATCAATATAAATGCTCTGAGAGCCGCTACATTTTTAAAATGATACTTGCTTTATGAATTAGTTTTCAAAATAAAATCCCATTTTGAATATAATAGGTTTTTACCAGAATTTTGAACCGGTTATAAGGTTTTCAATCGAGATAAAAGCCCAAGCAAGTTTCACATTTGGTTCCACAATTACTTTGGTTTACGATGCAAAAAGCATATAACACATGAAATACTGGGCAACGGATGAAACTACTTCAGTGTGTTGACAAAAATTGATTACGCTCAAAGGAGAATGATGAAAACTTTTTTGTTTCAAGCCAAATTGAAATTTTTGACAATGACAAAGCAAGAATTTCTGCCCGAATCGAACAGTTCTAAGTGTAATTACAGCAAAGTCGGCCCTACAACCAATTTTTCTAGATCAAAAACACACACCCGATAGCAGACAGATGGGCCAATTAATCGTCAACTCATGTTTTAATGGTAAAAATAGCTTAGCGACAGTTCGAAGAGTGTCTTTGACTCAAAAAAATCAGCAACGATTAATCATTTTCGGCAGTTTTCAAGTTTTTTTAAAAACATCTTAAGAAAAACAATTTTTCATAAAATTATTCCTTTTAGGAAAAATGGATCAATAAGTAGTTTTTTTGCTGGAAAATGTAAAAACTGAAAGCCACTTTCAAAACTAGAAGTCTTTTACGTTTCTTTTTGGGCCATTTGATTTCATTAAAAAAGAGCTTAGTTTGCTTTGCAATTGAGACGGTTTGAACGTAGCAAACAGACAAAAAATTGGAAAAATTGTTTTGAAATTCACAAAAAAACATAGACAGTCTTAAAATTTTTTAAATTTCTAGAACAAGCCAAAATTGACATTTTTGGAAAAAATTACCCAATTTGAGAAAACTAGATCAAAAGGTAAACTTTTTATTCCATCGGGATTCTGAAAAAAAAATTACTTTCAAAACAAGAAGTTGATAACCTTTTTGGTGATCTTTACACTTTTGCTGTTCGATAGTGGAGTTTGCCTTAAATTAAGCAAAGGAAATAAACTGAACTTAACAGAAATCAAAAAAAAGAAAAGGAAATAACCAGGTAAATATCTTCATGTAAAGTTCAAAAATTATTTTCATGCTTTTGCTTATTTAAATGAAGGAAAAAAACTAACACTTGTTAATAACAAAGTTGAGAATAACTGTTCAATCAAACGCTTTAAGTAAATTCTGTTCTAGTAAAAATACGCACATACGTAAATTGAGGTAGTAAAATTACGTAAAATCTGTTCTAGTAAAAAAAATACAAAGGTATAAACAAAGCAAACAAAAACAGTCAGCCAGAGGAAATGTTTTAAGATTTTGTGTTGATATGTTATCCTCAAAAACACTTTATTCCAACTTTTGAAAACAACCTTGGAGTTCAATTGAATATAAGATACAAAAATATGTGAAATTCATTGCGGGCAAAAAAGAAAAGAACAAACCATACAATTGACTGCGTCACGTTTTTTTTCTCAACTCACAATTAAACGTTTTTCAAAATTTTTGCAGCAACATAATATAAAACGCCGGAATACAACTAAAATGACCCTGTAGTAAAAATGTTTAGTTTCAAATAGTACTGTAAACTTTTTTGAAACGTTTTCCTCGATACATATGCATATTAAAAAAGAAGGAAAAAAAAACCAGCTACACCGAGACAAACTACAGAAAAGACGTTAAAAAGATTTAAAACAAGTTCCAAAGACGCTTCAAATGTATAACTACAATTTTGAGGTTTTTCAGAAAAAAACCGAGCAACTTTTTTTGAATAAATAGAAAAAGCTCTTTTGATCAAATTCAGAGATAAATAAGTTTATGAAAAATTGAGGCTCTTACATGAAATTCAGAAAAAAGGAAACAGTTTGTTGCTAAGCTTAATAAAAAAAATTGACAAAAGTTTCAACACCATTTGAAGGCTGTTTACTTCGACTCAAAATTTACAGAACAGGATTATCTTACTATATTTACGAAAAACACTGTCCACATTCAACAACCTCGCCGACGAAAAATGTTGAAATTTCTGAAGCTCATTTAGATGTAGCTCAAACAAACTCAGTTTACGCGTTCTCAGAGAAGTAATAAATTGTATTATAACAAAAATGTAGAAATTGGGAAATTTTTTTTAAAAAACCTGCTTTTTGCTGCATTTTTAAGAAAATACGAGGAACAGTGGGAATTCAGAAAACACGCAGTACAACACGAATATATAACAAGGATAGCCGGTTACTGTTTAATTAGCCATAGTCGTAAAAAACACAATAGTTTTTTCTTAAAATAATAGGTTTTTTTTCTGTGTGGTGTGATAAAAAGATCTGATAAAAAACCAGAACTTAAGCAAACTTGAAATTCAAAGTAAAATAAGCAAATTAAACAAAAGCTTTTTGCAAAAAATGACAAGGAAAAATATACAAAAATCAAGAAGCCGAAACTTTTCGATTCCCAAAATGCCGCGTGAAACTAAGTCAATACGGGTTTAATTAGGCCTGTTTAAGATATAATGGGCCTGCTTGCTCGCGTTACTTGCTATAAATCAGACAAAAAATCGGAATTTTATTGAAAATTTTCTAATGTCGTTCGAATCACAACTAAAATAGCTTTATAATCACTCAACTTAGTCTGATGATTGTTTGTGGTACCTCATTTTAAGTGGAAAAGAAGGACAAAAAAGAAAAAAAAACCTTGTAGCACTCCCAAATACAAAGTTCCTCCTCATTTCCTCAATGGTCGGAGCAATAAACGTTTGAAATAACTATGACTGTTGAGTTTGCTTAAGTTCTAGTTTTTTATCAGATCTTTTAATCTCACCACACAGAAAAAAAACACCTATCATTTTAATTCAGGAAACCATCGTTTCCTCAATTTGATTTAAGCAAGAAAAAAGTTGATACGTTCATACTTATTAGATTACTACATTTGTACAACAAGGAGCATTAATCAATTACAGGATGCATCGAAATGCTGATGTTACTCGGTGAAAAAAAATCTTTATCCTGTATTTTTTTTTAATTTTCAGCTTTATTCCTGGTGCAAAAAAAAAACATGGCAAATCTAACTTTATAGGGGCCAAGGTTTTCAGAAAGCTGGGTATCATGGGTATGAACAAACTCTGTTTCTTTTAAATGAGCTCCTTTTTAATGAAAACTTACACTTTTACTGCAGCAATGCCGTATGAAACCATTTTTCCAAATAGTACCGGAAAATACCAAAGTTTTCTTTGTAGCTAACTCTTGTTTTGCTGAGAATGGTATTTAGGACAAATGTTCTATTCTTACAATGAACGGTTGAAAAGATAAACAACATATTTACTCAACATACTGACGGAAAGTTTTTTTGCACCAAAGATAAAACAATGTTTGTTATAGACATCAAAAAAAGAACAAAAAGTTTAAATCAGATTAACGATGTAGAGATGGTACAACAAATGCTTAAATTTTAACACAGTAGTACAATTTATTGTGAGTTTGTTGGCAATTTTATTGTCAGAAAGGAAAATAAAACACACCACTTTTCACATGATCATCTTGAAGGAACTCCTTGTGGGAAAAAACTATCCTGCGTCAATTTAAGTTAGATAGTTTTTCAAAAACCGAGAGTGTAAAAACTTTTTTTTTGCCGCTGTACCGCAACATTTTGTGTTTGACGCTGGTAATTTTCGACACTAGTCTAATTTATTTTTTCCAGATCTCAGAAGATTTGCTAGTCTTCATCTTTTTGTTGTCTCAATTTTAACTTTGTAGATTAAAAGTATACAGTATAATAAAGGTCGACAAAACTCGTCCCTCACATATTTCGGTGGTGTTATACCGGCCGAGGTATCAACCCGCCAAAAATACGTGAATGTTATATAATAGTTCTGTAAAACTGTAAAACGAAACAGTTACGAAAGTTTTGCAAATTCATACATACGATGAAACTTTTCGGCTCGCTCATATACTCCGCGCATTTTTGATTGGTTTCTATTTCGGCTCGTTTATTTACTCTGCATATTTCGCTCCTCTTAAATTTTATGACTTTTTTGTATCTCGCACAATTCGCCCCTAAAATCTCGCACACAAGTCCCGCAATAAAATCGGGGCGCATTAAGTGAGGGGCAAAACATGCCAAACTCGATGACACATGTAGAAGAACCGACTTGTTTTGGAACAATCGTATCCAAAAACTTATGCGACTCGAAATTCAAGCTAAATAAAACTCGGAACATTGTTAAACATTTCTTGAGTTGTTGAAAAGAAATCAAAAAGCAATTGAGAAAGAATCTAAATGTTTAACTCACTGAATTGTGAAATAGGCCGACAGATCAATTGGGGAGGGATCCATTTTTTATCGGATCGACCAAAGTTGTCCCATTTCTCCCGTGTGTTATCTTATTAGTAGGTTCAGAAGACGAATGACGGAAGCTGTGGGAGTGAGAATTGAAGTTTGAAGGTCTCAGTTTTTCGTCCATGTGCTCAAAGAACGTTTGAGGTGACATAGCGTTGAGCTGAAACAGATTTAATTTGTAAACGATAATCGATTTCACGTTACGCATCGCTGGTTTACGCATAATTATTGTATTCAACACCTACTTGCTCAAAAAAAATTTCTGATCAAATTGACATACTCCTTACCCACCCCAGTAGTAGATGTTGGAGGTGATCAGGGGGGGGGGGGGTGCATGGAAGACCCCATGTATTAAGATACGTTATAGATTCCCCGGTCTTCCATGCTATGTATTAAGATAGGGAATAGATTTCCCATGTATTAAGATAGGTT